GTACTCCGATGTAAGTCCAGGACACCCTGTACTAGTAATTTATTCTACGGAGATTCAGCTCCTTCTGGATCTAAATGATCTGGATACCTGAGAACTGTCACAGTTGTTGTATTTTGTATTGATTTAGTTATAGGACATTATTAAATTGATTATGAGAACTACAGTTTAATACTGGAAGTTCATATCCAAATATAAGTCTGTTTCCTAACTAGCAATTAACCAAACATGTTAAAAAAATCATTAGCCACTTTGCATTAGCCACAAGGTGACACCTGGGGAATTGCTATCATTTCAATTTGATATCAATGCTTTCACACAATAACAGTAATAATAATCTGCTCATATGACTCTCAAACATCTTAGTTTCTGTTTGAGTGATGCTAAAAAGACGTTATGATTAAGAGCCAAAGCAAGACATTCTCTGTTGTGTGTGGCTTCACAGAGACAAAGTCAAAGAATTAGCCAAGTGTTAATATTCTGATTGGCAGCAGCCACTACCTCTTTACAACACAAGCATCTGGTGAAATATTGGATTTGAAACAACAAAGGAAAGCAGATGAATCAGACAAGAAACCATCCAACTGAACGAAAGCTGCCAACATCTGAGCAGCATAGAGGCAGACTGGAGATGATCCCCCTCCCACACTTGTTTTCTTTGCCTGTTAATGTTAAAATAATTGCCATACATGGACCATATGGTTTCAAAGTGTTTTCTTTATTAAATTATTTTAAATATTTCACCACTAGAGATGCAGTCACTTCTGTTTAGGTAAGACATCAACGTGTAAGCCTTCATCTGATTTAAATCTTGTAGCCTGGGGAAACATACATGGATTTGATATTCAGAGCAAGGTTTAACAAGACCATTAGACCAACATTTACATATTGCAGTGTTTTCCAACCTTTTTTAGGCCACAGCACAAATTCCAACCCCACAGTGCACCACCAAACTAAGCCAAAATGTCTCATAGGGAAATGTAATTAAATATAATGATCCTCTTGTTTCACTTCAATCACACTTTAATAACCCAGTATGCAACATGGGATATTAAGTTGAATGTAATGCTGATATACTCGCAGAAATTGAAGAAAGACAGAAAAAGAGTGTCACAGAGTGTCCCTGTTTTTGTTTGTTTGTTTGTTTGTTTTGCTGCCATCTAGTTGAATAGTATTTCATTTTTCTTCCTCTCACTGTTGCATAGTTATTTGCAGTAAACAAATAACAGTTTTCTGACCAACTGAGTGAAATTTGATTATTTTCTATGGCACACCAGGTGATGCGGTTGGGAATCACTGTATTGTATCATGGCCACCTAGAGTACAATGCTTTCCAATTCCTTCTCAGTGTGACTGTGGAAGTAAAAACAAGCATAAACCGGAGCTATTGGGTTCTGACGCCCTGAGCTGGGATTTTGCTGCAAGTTATCAGACGCTGTCCGTGGTAATTCAGATTGATGAAAGATAAAAATAACCGATTGTACCGGATGATGGACAGCTGTATCACAGATAAATCTTCGAGCCAGACGAATAGACGATTGTGAGCACAGAAAGGCTCCTATTTCAGACTCTGGTACTTATTCTGGCACTGTCACGCATGTTAGTGAGATGTCAACTGGGAGCTAGAACTCCCAGGGCTCTGCTATGCAAGCAAAATATGTGTGAATGGATGTGAAAATTTCCAAACTAAATAACAAACTGGTGTAGTCCAAGATTGCAGGTGTCTGCTGTTCCTATGTTCCTTGCTCAAAATACTGCAACTCCAAAGAGCAAATTGAAATATGTACAATAATAATTATTTTTTTATTTATTAATTTAATTTTTCAACACAGACTTTAGAAATAATTTAATTTGTCATCTGTATCTCAAATGTCAAATTCTTTAAGCGAAACCATTTTATTCCCCTACGCTTCAATAGGAGATAAACTGCAGGCACCAATGTATTTTTCTTTTTTTTTCTCCATTAGGCTGAAGCAGACATATATTTATACAGTGCACACAGATGAGATACATCAACAGCTGCAGCGGGCGGCAGTTTGCCAAGCATTTTACTATATAATTTAGGGTGGACAATGCAATTAGAGCAACATTACAGTGCATCTGCTCTCACTGCAGCAGGCATTTATGTTACTTTAAATAACTAAGAACCTGAGCAACAGCAGACAGCGTCAATATTGCTGTTAATCTCACACACCCATGCACACACACACACACACACACACACACACACACACACACATAACAGGTCCACTTTATCGCCCACATCGGTGGCTGATCCGATGTTTCCTCCATTTGTACCTATAAGAAATTATTTGTGGAGTCAGCGTTTGAACATATTTAGTTTGCACTGCATACAGTAATACAAACCAACCCGAGGCGGTAGCAGTTGGAGCAGACACATGCACACAGCCACAAACTTCAAAGCGCTTTGGAGGCTTCTTTGTAGCATCAGCTATCAGACTGCAGAAAAAACAGCTCCGGCATCCTAGGACCTGAACTCCGTATTGCAAAAGACATACTTGCACGTAGTGCACATTTTTCTTTTGCTCTGCATCTTATCTTAACTTAAACTTAAGCATGATTTAACTTTATTTAACTTGTCTTGTCTCATTCGGTCTCTTCTTGTCCCATTCCATGTATTACCTTGCCTTGTCTTGCCCCTGTCAATCATGTCCTGTCCCCTGTCTACCCTTTCTTATCTTGTTTTATCTTAATCTTTTTGCCTATTACTATATTGTATCCTATCATAACGTATGCTAGGGTATTTATTGTATCTTGTTTACTTTAATTACATAAAAACTCATTGTGTTGTAAAAAAAAACAGTGAGATTAAAAACATATTTTTTTAGATATCGAGTACTTGAAGTGGTGTTGACGGCAGTATGTCTTCCCTGTTGTCTGCTGGCAGCAATACCGGAACATACCTTTGTGTCACAGATGGCACACACAGAGCCTGGGCTTGGTCTGGGCTGTTTATGTTGAAGTGGAATTACAGATCGAGTTGAACCTATATTGTATTGTACGAGTCCCCAGAGTATTGGAGGTCATGAACTCCATTAGAAACTGTAATTAGTGGGTTGTTGTTTTCTCTTTAAAAATTTATAATCTAGATTAATGATAGATTTTTATCAGGACAGACATACGGTTTCTCTTTGTGACATGTAGCAAGCATTTAATAGAACAAAATTCTAAACAGTTTATAACACAAATGAAAACACAAAAAATAGATTAGAGTCCTAGAAAAAACAGTCTTTGGTAATTCTATGGTAACATGCTCGGGTTTAGGTGATCCAAACTTAAGGTTCGTTGGCCATTCATTTATTTTGAGTTTTTTTTTCCGTCATTCTTAGTTATTAATTAATGTGCCACAGATGCGTAGCAAAGTATTTAACTCTTTAATATATGTTTGTGTAACTTCTGAAGCAATTTGATGTTTTTTTAATTTTATATGTTTTACTCATGGTAATGATTTGGCTCTGTGTCTAGTTCAATTGTTTAGATTATAAAAATACAAAGTGCTATGAATGCCTTCCTATTATGTCACATAACCCATTATCATTTTAGCCAACTGTTGACACATTTTATCACCCTTTTGGCCTAAAGGAAAACCAAATGTCTATAAAGACCAGTTGCAACCAAAGGAGTTTTAGATTTCTTTTCATGACATGATTGTTTCCATTGGTGGATGGAGAAACAAAACAGAATGCTGCTTAATTATTAACAGTACCTCTTTGCTAGTGTAGCAGTGCGCATAATAAAGGAAAAGCATTTTTTAAATTAAATTCAACATAAAAGACAATTGAAAAGGTGAAGACAAAGGCTTTTTTTCCTCAAACAGAAAGTGCAAAAGGCCAATGAGCTGCGTTTCCGGCAGTTTTTCACAAATTGACAACGTCTTCATAACAGGGCAGAAAAACACCAGAAGCACACTGACAGGTATGAAATATATAAACAAAGAATTCGTCTTTTGGTTTTGTTATTTATGCTTAAGGAGAAGATAATTGATGCAATCACATTCACTCCTGAGAACTCCCAGTAGACCAGTTATTTTTTAATCAACATCCAATTGTCATCTGCATATCAAACGGTTGAGCCAAGGTGTTTAAAAAAAGGGACAGGACTGCTTTTCTTCACAGTCTATCACCATCCAGTGATGTGGTGCACACTTCTCCTTGTGCAGCAGAATAGGGGACCAGCTGTTTCATATTTCTGCCCACCTGCTATTCCCCCGACTCATTTGACTGGCAGGTATTTGTAAGTCGTGGAGACAAATCAAATAGCTTGCAGACTTCCCTATCAAAATGCTGGATCATATATACGTTCTTACATCTTGCCATTTCAGAAACGGAGAGTTATGACTCATTTGCATGTTCACACTGAGCGTCTCCTTTCAGCACTTGACAAGAAAAGTGAAACAGAGATGTGCTGGTTTATATTTATCCAACACCCACCTCACAAGTCTGTCTTCCTTTTCGGGCCATCGTTTTAAAGCTGAAAACCTCAGTTTATTCTGTTGTTGAATTTAAACTGCAATTTATACAGTATGTTGTCAAGTTTTTTTTTTTGTTTGTTTGTTTTTTGTTTTTTTGATTTGCTGTCTCCAAACATAGCTATTACCGAAGTGTATAGCTGCAAGCTACAAGTCAGAAATTAATGAAGACTGTATTGGATTTTATTAGTATTCCCTGCAAACACTTTGATTTGATGACATGGCTGATCTGGATGTAATGTTGCTTGCTCGTCACAGCCAATTTCCTGCCACGCCACTCCCTTTCAGGAGGCCATTGTTTATTAGCTAACACGTTTTTTCGAGGATAATCCTGCTCATTAGTGACAATTGTTGTAGCTGGCCTCTGCAAAACCACAGAACAAAATTAGGGTGCATGCTTATATGGTTTTTGCCTTTAAATTTGTCAGTATGTAAGAGTAACATCAGTTATCTACATCTGAATTTTATCCTAGCAACATAGCTCAAAAAACCCAAAACCAAAAAAAAACTGTTTGTGTTGTGTTGTCAGTACGTAAACTAAAATTGGAATGATACAAGGAGGATTAGCCTGACCTTGCACAAGGATGACACTCTTCACAAGGAACGCTTGTGAAGCCTTCCTTTTGTGTCTTCCTTGTGTCTTTGAGTGTTTTGTGTGTTTCATTCGTAGCACCCCCGGTGGAAGCCTGTGTGGGTTGCAAAGACTCACACTGTAAATTTCCCCATTGTGGGATGAATCAGGGATTCAGTTAATATTAATTATGTTTCTATTGACATGTTTTAGCTGTATATTAGTCAGAATTGCATGCAGTCAGTTTCGGTGAAGTTTTTCTTAGACCAGTATATCATTGTATCTAGCAAACACAGTGCAGTGGCAGTAGAACAGCTTAAATCAGCAGAAATATAAGAGATAACTGTGCAGTCCCTGGCCTTTTCATGAAACCTGACAGGAGGATTGGCTGTGATTGCAGGCAGGACTAACATCAGACTGCTGCATCGAAAGAGCCATGGGAGATGACAACATTTTCAAAATGATATCCTGGTTAAATTGAACCCTTGATCTGGTGGAGCTTTTGGCTCTGCACACATGTCATGAGTTTCCAGTGACAGATGTAGCACTCATAAACCTTCAGCCAATGGAAAGATGAGTTTTATGTGCTGTCAGTCCCTTTTGATCCCTGGCTTCCATATAATTTGTCCCAAAACACATATTAACAGCACTTTCCTGCTTCTGAATGGCTGTTTTCTGTCCATCAGGCTGCGCTGTCATGTAGCAAAATTGTTTTTTTATGCCATATGTAAAGAGACATTAATAAAGCACAGTTTTAATATAAGAGTACCCTGAGTTGAAAAGAGTGCATTGCATTCCAGTGACAGTCGACTGTAGCTGCTTTTCAACAGTTGTACAAAGACAGAAGTCGCACTAATTAACAGAATCCCTCCAACTGAAACAGTAATTACAATCCAATGGCTTTTAATTGTCATTAAACACGCAGTTTTCATAACACTGAAAAAAAAATCTACACAAATCTAGGCTGTGACCAATTATTAAGAATTTTAATATCAAATTATGTTTCAATTATTTTCTCACCCAGTCAAGAAGCTGAAGCTTTTCCACTGGTAAATAAATCAGCTTATTATATTAGCACAGTAACCAATGATAAATTACCATCATCACAAAGGGTGTTATGTAGCTGAGCCAGTCGTTTATAGAGAAATAAGTGTTAATATGAGTTAAATTGATCTACGTAGGACTAATGGCATTACACAGAACATTCTAGATACATTCTAGAACACAGCCATTTTATACTCCTTAATAATGTATTGTTTTGAGGCAGCAACATTTTGAATTAAAAACTGACTTTAACCCTCACAAAGTATTTCCGAATCACATTGTGCTACACCTTTAGTATAACCTTTGCCCAAACAATTAGCACAAAAGTCCAAAGAGTCAAGATTTTTATTGACTTCTATTTCTACCTGTGGTCCAGTTGTTGGTACAGTACAGGATACTACTAAAGAATTTCAATAAAATCAACGTCAGGAAGTTAAGTAATAAATTCTTCAATTCTTCTCACATAAAAGCTGTTGTTATTTAATAGAAATCTTGCTGTGATGTTATTTGTAGACAGCAAACTGAGAGGTTGTGAGTCTATGCTGGTACTGGTATGGTATGCTGGTAATCTCTAATACCCCAGGTTCATTTTGAGAATTGATCAAAATTAAACAGTTTTTGGCAACAATGGAAAACTTAATATACTTTTAATCTCTAATTGTAAGTGAATAAAGGGAGTTTTCCTATCAGACAGTATATTATCCTATTATACCCATCCATTTATATTATACTTATTATATTTTATACTAATTATACTGTTTATAATTTGATAGGATATAAAACCAATTAAAATAATAGATCAGGTGTGCTTTTAAATTAGGGCTTTTAAATTGCTTTAATAACAGTATTTTATATAAAAAGCATGTTTTGTTCAGCAGTAGCTGTCGTTATGATTGCTCTCATCGTGTTAAATTAAACTTTTGAGAACAATGACTTCATCCATCAGTGAAACATAATAATCTCCTGCATGGTTCTGATTTGATTGAAGTCATTAACTGCACTGTGGTCAAAGGTGAGTCATCTGTCACGTATTTGTTGTCATCAGCTACTATGGCTGCTTGTTTTGTTTTTTTTTTAATTTCTGTAGTTATATGTCTCTTCAGTGGAGCTAAACATAGAGCTGGGTATTTGGCTAGTTTGCTATGGTGACCCCTAGATGCCATAATATGTAATAATAGCAAAACAGAGCCCCCTGCTTATTGTCTTGTGGGAAATTACTTGCTGACATGTATCTGGTTTCTTGTAGTTTTCTGTCCTTTCTGAAGTCTGTGCAGTCACTGAGTGAAGTTCAGTCATATGTGTTTAGGCTCAGAGAGTGTCTGTGAGAAATCTGTTATAAATTATACATCCGGTGGTGCTAAAAAAAAAGATATTTTTCCTCCTTTGATTTGGTAAAAAGGCTAAGGGTTGTGTTTGTGCAAACTGTAAAAGTGTAACATAGCAAATTATTCCTAGACCCTGGTCTAATAAAGACACCATGATGTGTGCTTATGGTTACAGAGTGTGTGTTTTTTTCCAACAGCTGACATACCAGTTGGCTTTCACCTTGCCAGGCCACCTGCCATGCAATGCATGACTGGAGCACACTTAAGGGGAAGTGGGTGATTAAAATTGCAACAGCATTCTCTTTTTATGTTGCAGGTCTGGACAGTAATGGAAAACAAAGCCTCGCTTTGACTTTGTTGTTTTGTGTGTTTCATTCCATTGTTTTCTGGTATTCATTGTCGGGAGGGGGAAATTGATTCCAGGAGGTGGTTTTATAAGGGCATTGTTACTCTGTCTTGACTACGCTGTCATCAGTCCTTGAACATACCATTATTTTTCGTAAGTGCATCAGCTAGGAGGCATTTTTTTCTTCTTTTTTTTTTCTTTTTGTGAAATTCAATCTGTGTGTTATGAGACTTGTGAGTGTATTGTATTCACCGAAGGAATCTATCACGGTCACTTCGGAGAATTTATATAACGTGGTCCTACTTACAATTGCAAGGTGTTACACACCTGCCGCAAAGTAATTTTTTAAAGATGAAAAATACATAAACAACAACTTGTATAATCACATTGTTTTTTTATTTATGCAGCAGTTTTCAGAACAAAGTCACAAGGATGCAAAACAAATAAGCAGAGATTCCAGAGCTGCATTTTTCAGACATAGTAGATGTACAGTACCAGAAGGTGGGTGGTGGAGGCACTGATGCTCAATCAATAAAAGTCTGATTGAAACTTAAGCTGCATAAATTCCAGTTTGGAAACCAACAGTTCATACCGAAGATCTGTCAAGTAGGATGCTGCTAGTCTGAAATGCTGGTTAGCTAAACTCCCTGTAGAGTTAAAAGCTAAGAGCCTAGCCAGAGGTTGTTGAGCTGCTGCAAGCCTAACAGAAAAGTTTGCAGATGAAAGATGTAGGCCATTGGCAGAAAATTAAAAGTCAGTGAGATGGACACAGAATTTTTCCTCAACCAAAATCCAAATAATATAATGGGGATATAAGATTGGTACAATTTCATAAAAAAGGGCATTTTACCATCGTCTGCTGACCGTGTACATTTGAAGAGTTTCTTTACTGGTTTTCTGCAAACGTTACACAAGTTTTATGTAATGATACTATTTGGATTGCTATTTTCAAAAAACTGGCTCAATCTTAGTTAGACATTCTAGTTAATTTAATAAAACATTCTACTTGTTTTGTAGTTGATCCACATAGAGCTTTGAGGCTTTATTTCTTTTATTTCCATCCAACAAATTCACTACTTTCCCCAAGGAAATTTTGGTATTTCATATTTTCATGATTTTTACTGTCCAACCTGGTGACTGGTTAATGAGCCATATCTCTCTGCATAATCTTTTCCGTCTGCAGAGGAAATGTTGCTTGACCCCGCCATTACCCAGCATGAAGTTGTGCAAGATGAAAATGAATTCCATTCGGTCTAGTTGGAGAGGAAAAGAAGAATTGCATGTTGTTTTTTTGGTTGTTTTTTTCAGCTGGAACTTTCTGTGTGTGTGTAATTGTCATAATAACATGGGTCTGCAGGTTGTTTTAATTTAAACAATAAGAAGGAAGGAAACAAAAAAAACTGATTATAAAAATCAAGCAAGCTTTAATTCTGATTGGCATTAGGCCAATCAAGTCATGTGTTTATTTTAATGTCTTATAATGGAATTAAATAAGTTTGTTGAGAAGCAGAAGATCCTGGCCCAATGAGTGACTCAAGATCTAATTAGGTCGTGTTTAAACCAGTGGTTGACACCATAAATACTCAAAATACTTGAGTTCGGATGCAAAGATTTTGGGACCACATTATCCATCACATCACTGAAGCAGAAACACTCAGTAACCCCAGTGTATACAATTGGAACGTATATAAAACTTTATATTGCAGCTAAAATCCTGAGAGTAGTGGAAGAAGGCCACCTGAGAGGAAGGTGGCAAACATACCCATCCTGCCCCAGGCAGCACATCTTTAAGTTGCAGTGGGGGGGGCGGTGATAGTGGCCTGTGAAGGATCACCCCTCATCTCCCACTCATTGATTTTTGTTTTCCACACTTTGTGTTGTGCCCCAGCCTGCGGGAGGGCCATTGCGCTTCTTGTGCCTTGTCTTACATTAGACCTAGGAGTCTGCTCTTTTTTTAGGGGGGCGGTGGGGGTCTATTTTATTTGTTTTTCTTGGAGACGGAAGAATCTAGGTCTTGTCCACCAACAATATCCCTGTTGTGCCACCAGAGAACCAATAGAAATACAAATATAATTCATCTCTGTCTGACCTGATGCTGATTGCTGCTTTAGTCATATCCTCAAACCGCTATTGGTGGTGTAATGACATTTTGCATTCCCGTACATACACAGGTTCTCTTCTTTGGAGTTTGTTTTTCTGAACCATCTGCTGAATGCAGGTGGCTTTTTACTAGGTCACTGATTATTGGCACTAACCTTTCGTGACTGGTATGCTACAGTGCCTGTGAGCGTAGCAGAAATATTAGGTCAAGACTGCCAGGTAAACTGCCAAAG